ATCTGAGCAACAGACGTGTTCAGCGCTGGCCTCGCAGTATTCCGATATCACGGAGAAACCCTAAACCCTAAACCCTAAACTCTAAACCCTAACCTTAAACCCTAATCCCAAGTTGGGAGCTCTTTGCTCCAGGAGCGGGTGCCGGACAACATCAGCCTCTTCCCGGTGTTGGACCTGTCAGATGCTTGGAGAACCGGTAGTCAGACATGGGCCATCGAAACCGCGACAAGACTTGGGGGTTTCCGAAGATAGGGGTACCCTTTTATTAAGGTTTCCTGTAATCAGTACTCTATACTATTCTGGTGCATATCAAGGGTTACCCCGATTTTTGGAAACCCGCACTTGCTAAAGGTACGGCCGCACGATCGAGATCTCGAAGACGGATGCAGAGGAGCTCTTTGGCCGAGTGTCTTATATGGGACCGTAGGGGTTCTTTGGGGGTTATTTAGGGGCTACTCGGGTATATAGGGACTGTTTAAGTTTTATCTAAGGGTTATAGAGGGGAACAAGATGAAGGATCCGATGAGCGCTGTACCTCACTCTGACATGAAGGTTACCACAGCCAGTGGCAGTCCAGCTATGAGACCTTGAAACGGTCCTTTAAATTTAGGAAAACACATATCTTCATCCAGGCCCCCCAGAATCCCAGGCCTGAAGAACACTGAAGCCCAGCTGAAACCGCCCAAAGATCTCCAGGAGCCACGCAAGCCCTGGAAGAACCCGAGATCTGCTTGAAAATCGAAAGAAGTCGAGGTCGCACTGAAAAGATCTAAGGGGTTCGAGGTAGTGTCGGGGGTTTACCTTTTGGTTTGGGGATGTAGGGGACTTAGGGCTTAGGGTTCCAAGTCTAAGGTTTTAGGCACATTTGCGTGGCGACCTAGAACCTGTTTGCAGCAAGTGTCTGCAAAAATTGCATGGATTTAGTCTTTCACTTTGGCAACACGCCCCTTTTTATAAGTCATTTGAAGGCTTTTAAGGTGCTAAGCTCCTGCTTCGATACTTCTAGGGGGCACAAGGAGGGACCCCTAGAAGGGACCCTGAATCTCATTCCCCTAGATAGCCCCTACATACACCTTGTTATAGTCTCCGTATTTACCTGAGTAGCCCCCCAAATAGCCCCTAAATAACCCCGAAGGTCCCTTATAAGGGTCCCTCCTTTAGTCCCTTGATGCTTGTTCCCGTGTGCACATCAGCTCAATGTCTGTAGTGCTTCAGGCCTGCTCCCACTGAGGAGTTGGGCTTGCGTTGGATCATCTGGGTCAGCTTAAAAAACTTCTGCGGGTTATGTCATGTTATGTCCTGTTGTGTCTGACACAGTCTTGGGTTGCTTCGTCCTCCATCGAAGAGAGCTAAAGTGAACTCAAAATGTTCTAGGCTCTTGAGGGAAGTGAGTAGAGGTCCCAACTGGTGACTAGTTTAGTGCCAAGATTCTAGATTACAGCTGTCGCGACTTTTATGTTACTCTTGGCAGCTGTCTTTGTGTTAGTGCAACCACCAGCAGCGTGCTTTAAGGCAGAAACAGCTGACCGAAGCTCCAAGCGCGGCCTGTCTAATGTTTCGAATGCTATGGGTTGTGGATGAGAGCTGTCGGGGTGCGAAGGCTGTTTGAGAGCCAGCAGCACATGTTTCCGTTCCGGCAGCGCCCAAGGACTTGCGGCATTTTGGAGCCACAAAGCTGTACAATGCCTTCACAAGTCTTTTGCATATGCTCCTCGGTGACGCTGCGCATGGTACATGCGATAGCAGCTGCCGGATGAAATTCCACAGCTGCGTGAGGATATTCGACCGACCCATCTTCCTGGTCGACTTCTGTCGGAGTACTCGGACTAAATGCGACACCCCCCCCCCAGATAGCTCACAAAACCAGTCATACTTGACAGAAGGAGCCGGTGCCTGCAGGGTGGCTGTCGCAGCTGCCATAGAATAGTTTAAAGACCTACAGCCACAGAGCAAAGCTGTGGAAAGAGGCCACTGCGCGAAAAGGACTATAAGCACTCCAGAAGCCATCGTCGAAAGCATCAAGTAGGTGTTCAAACATCTTGGAAGGTGGTGTGGCACGCAGGGTTTGAGCTGCTGGGTTCTGTCCTGCCGGATGCAAGCCGGATTCGGCCCGAGAGCAACTCCCACACTGCCATGCCCGACCAGGCCTTCAGCTTGGTTTGAGACCTCCTTGACTTTCCTGGGGCATGGGGTTCAACGAGCCGCGCAGTTCCGTGTGGAGAGGGCTGGACTGAGTCACCTTGTTCTTGGGACGCTGCTCTGTTGGCCAACTTGTTCTTTGCTACCAGTGCTGTCTCGGAGGGTCTTTGGCACTGCAAGGCCCGCTCGCGCTCGCCCCCAGCTGCAAAGCATGGTGGTGGGGAGCGCAGCAGATGAGCATGTCGGGGTAGGGCTGCCTTTTTTTTCAGGGGAGGTTCCTATAATGCAGAGTATTTGGGGGTGTGGTAGGGGTACCCTGAGAGCTGCCACCACCGTAGGTAGCAGCTGTAGACTTCCGACATCTTCCGACTGAGTTCCGGCTGCCCCAGGCAAGCTGCGGATCTCACCCTTGAAGGGGCGATTTGGTGCATTGATTGAGACGCCGCTTACAGCGGACAGGACCCCTCCATCTCAGTTCTGCAGGCCTTTCATAAGCTTTCGTAGCCAAAAGGGTTCTGTTTCTTCGGCTTGGGCTTGGGCGCGCAGAGGGTTCTTGTGCGATTTCCCACAGAGAGGGGTTCAAGGCTCGTGCTCCCGGCTTTCCCAGAGGATCCTCTCAGATGCTGGCATTGGCTTGGAACTGCTCCGAGCATGGCAGGACGTCCGTTGCAGTGCTCAGTCGTTGCGATGAGTTGCAACTCTATTGATTCTATTGTGGCAAGGGCTTTGGTGGTCTTCTAGTCCTCAGAGGCAGGGCCGTCTCGTGTTGAACTTTGGCTGGGTTTCGGAGGCTTTTTTGCATGTTGGGCAATCCCAAAGACGAGCCAGAATCTGCGAGATGCCGAGGCCTTCAGGACCTAAGCCCAACCCAGCTCGTGGACATCAGCGCGCTGTTCGGAGAGGCTCGACCAAGAACTCGGCAGGAACATGGGTACGACTGCGCAGGGTGGACTGTAGACACTGTCGACTGTCAAATGCGGCATCCTGCTCATAGGTCGAGAACGAGCTCGACGACAGCAAGAAGAGGTGTGCTGCGTTGCAGTCGGTAGTTTCCTGTCGGCTTCATCTGCAAGGTTCGCTGTACAGGGCGAAACGCGGGTGAGGAACCTACAAGTAGCCTGTGATAGCCTTGCGCTTACTGCGGCTCCATACTCTGTGATACTGAATTCTTAAACTGAACAAGGTCATGCGCATTGGCAACACTCGCGACCCGGAAACCAAGCTCGCCACATCTCTGAATGCCAATGATCCTCCTCTGCCTGAAGGCCGGCAGATCGATATGGGATATCAGCTAGATCCTTGCTGCAAGAGGAGGCTCTCCACAGTACCGCTTGGACGACCGCAGGCCCTTCTGGCACACGGAACCTTGTCGGCAGTTTTCTGAGTTTGCTTCTCTCACACATGGCTCGCCCCCGCTGAAGCACCTCCTGTCCCAGCAGTTGCAGAGGATTCCGTGTACAGGAAGGACCCACCGATCGGTTCCCTTCTTTACTGCAAGCCATGGCCCCGGCTTGACTTCCAAACGCACGTAGACACGCACCACCAGCACTCCTTCTCTCTCGAGCTGTTCTCTACTGTAACAGCAGCCCGGCCTCCTTTTGCTGATTTCGAGGCAGCAGCCTCCGGAGGGCGGGGCTACATGCTTCGCGGACGCCGTCTCCTCCTACGAGGTGCTCTTTTTCCATTTGGAATCCTTGTGGGGTTTGAGCTGGTTTGTGGGTTCAGGGGTGCATATTGGGCTACTTGGTGCCTGGACCTAGCATTAGTTCTTCCAGGCCCTGGACGTCAAGCTGCAAGAGAAGCTGAAAGACCTAGAGCAGTGACCCAAGACTGCCGCCAGCTCTGGGCTTCGGTTTCTAAGTTTCCGAATCCCTCTCCTAGGTGCCTGTGCTCACAAGCGCATCACGATGCCAAGGCGGTGAGAACCTTGTAAATGCACCCTGAAACCCAAAACTGCCAAGGAACTGCAGGCCGCACTAGTCCGACTATTCCTGTTCCTGATGCTAGTCTGCTAGAATGCTCCTCGCCTTACATTGTTCCAGGTTCATCGCACCTCGCCAGACTTCCCGATGCTCGGTTTGCACAGGAAGCACAGTTGTATGACAGTTGTATGAGCTACTTGTACTGGCAGGCGTCAGCAGAGGTGGTTGGGCGAACTTTGCAGAGGGCTGGGGAAGATCCCAGTCACATTTTTCACCAGGTAAAACGCCAAGAACCGCACACAACAGAGCACTTGGACCTCCATCTGCTGCCCCGCACTGTTCGGGTATTTCGTTATGCGTTTGTTCTTAGCTCCAGGGGAGCTTTGTCGGGCCACCCTTGCAGGCACTACTGGTGAATGGATATGTGATATGCAAGGCTGGGAAGCCGCTGCGGGCCTGAAAACAGACGTGCACAGCTTTGCCTCGTTTCTGAGCTTGCGCCCGTCGGTTCAGCCACGAGCCTGTTGGGAAGGAGGGACATCCATCTCAAAAATGTTTTCGCACGTGCTGTCCAAGTCCCTAAAAGGCATTTGGGGTCATTTGGGCGATCACGCTGGACATTCCTGAGCCAAGATCTCTGTGCAATTTCTCAGTATGCCGGGCAACCAGGTCATGCAGCGTCACAATGTGGCGTCACCAGGTAAAGCTTCTTCAGGCACCATGAGGCGTCAGTCAGCAAGGCGGCTTCAGAAAGCAATGCGGCGACAACAACGTGGCGTCACAAGACGTAATGCGTGGTCGGCTTCGGGCATATTGGTCCCATTCTAGCCTTCGCGATGAGTTCTCTGTATGTTTACACCATAAACATCTATGTGCGTTTATACACATAAATCCGCCGTTTAAGCATGTATGCATGTATAAATATGTAAATATATAAATATAGACAGTTGAATATATTAATATACAAATATATAAATTTAGAAATATATAAATATATAAATATACAAGTATATAAATAAATAAATATATATATATATATATAAGTATAAACAGGTATAAATAAATATAAACATATATATATATATTTCAATTGTGTGGAATCGTGATGAGCCGCTCAGGACACTGACCCCTGAGGAGCGTGCGGCAAGTCCTGCTCAAAGAGTGCCGCGCGGCCCCTACCCAGAGGGCGTGGATCCTTCAGAGAACGGCTCAGAGTTGCAGATTGTAGGGTTTTTTTTTTTTTAGGGCTGCCATGCGCTTCCAACATGCTTGCTGTACATAGGGAAAATACTCGGCGCGCGCGTTGGCGCAGTGCGTAAGAGGTCGCCAAACCGTGTGTCTTTGGATATTAAATGTTTTAGGCCCAGGAAGTCCCTTCGGGCTTCTGGGTCTGTGGCGGAGTGGTGGTTATAAAACCTTACTGCTTCCGTGGAAACTAATTCAAACCAATATCTACAGGGGTGTCCTCTTGTGCGGGCCTTAGTAAATCTGATTCGGTCCTTGTATCCGGGAGAGAACACTACATGGTGAATGGGGTCCTGGGGGCTTGCTAATATAGAGCTCTGGAGTAATCCAAATTGTTGCGCCAGCAGTGTTTGGGAGGGCAAATATGGCTTGCCTGCAATTTTCCAAACCTTCTGGTTGGATATGTGTGAGTAGTACGAGGATTTGATTTTAATGGAGCGTCTAAGATACCTATGGTACCAGGCGTCGATTTTTTTGAAGGAGTGGGTTTCTAGTGTGAGGACATCCAGGGAGTATAGCAGGACAGGAACAATGCAGCTATGGAAGATGTGGGTTTTTACTTTAATGGGTAGTTTACTTTGCCATATGTGTTGGAGCTTCATGAATGAGGAGTGAGCTAGTTCCATTCTATGCTGAATGGCGATTTTTGGCGGAGTAGTCCAGCTGATCCTAGATCCCAAATATTTAACCTGATCGCTTACAGGCACTGGAGTGCCGTCGGCAAAGCTGATGTCTGCCTGTGCGCTGGGGTGGCGGAGTAGTTCGGTTTTCGTGTAATTGAGTTGTAATCCATATAAAGATGCTTCTACCTGTACGCATGCCAAAAATGATTCGAGCTGTGGTGCCGTGACTGCCATTAGAAGAGTATCATCTGCGTATTCTAGATCATAAATGGGCTTGCCTATTGACCAAGTGTTTTGCGGTGTACCCTCGCTCCTAAGCCGAGCGTCGATGTCGTGGAACAATACTGTCATGATCATGATGAACAAGTAAGGGCTGAGTGGACAGCCCTGTCGTATGCCACTTTTAGGCGTGCCCCAACTTTTCTCTTGAGAGAATCCTTGAGTGCAAAATTGGGGGTCGGTGTAGAGGTCTGTTATGATTTCAATGTAAGTGGGGTGCACTCCTAATCTTTTAAGGGCGACCATCATGGCGGGGTGGCTAACTTTGTCGAACGCTTGCTTCCAATCTAAAAAGAGAAGTTGGAAAGGCTGACCTGTTTTGGCGGAGTAATCTTGGAGCCTGCGCAGGATAAACAATGGCTGTTTTGTACTTCTTTTTGCACGGAAGCCATACTGGGTGGAGCGTAGTTGTGCGTCGTGTTTAGTGGCTAGTCTTTTTTGCAGCATGGCGGAGTAGATTTTGTAAAACGTGTTTAGAAGGGAGATCGGCCTGTAATTGGAGGGGTCTGAGTCTGATCCCTTTCCCTTGTAGATGCTTACCACGAGCGCTTCTTTCCATGAGGAGGGGACCTTCCTGGCTCTGAGGCAAGCGTTCATAAGGCGGAGTAGCTGGGTTTCACCGTAGTGGTCGAGGAGTAATATTATTTCTCCCTTTACGCCGTCTAGTCCTGGGGCCCTGCCTTTTCTTATACCCTGGATGGCAGCGTAGAGTTCTTCATGTTGAAAGGGAAGGGGGTCAAGTTCGTCGGTTTTGTAAAGCGGGGGGGAAGAGCGGAGTAGTTCGATTTCCTCCTCGGTGACGTCCGGTGGGGACCACTGGTTGTTCTGGAGGTGATCTCTAAAGATTTTGTGGGTGTTCGTCCATGGGACTGGTGTGCCTGAAACTTTTAGTCTGGTTCTCCTAGCTCTAAAACCTTTTTTGAAGCTCTGGACTTGTTTCCAGATTTTGGTGTGTGACGGGTTGGGGTCAGTAAGCAACTGCTCGCGTGTCCAATCCCTTTTTATTTTACGGGCCTGTTTTTTAAGGAGTTTGTGTTTTTTGATATGGGCGGAGTGGTCAATGGATTTTAGGTGCCTAACTTCATGGAACTGTTGTAGTAGTTCCTGCGTCATCCAGGGCTGCTTGGGCTTGCGTTTCAGTAGTGGTATGTGTTGCGACTCAGCTTTGTGCAGAGCTCGTACTAATGTGGAATTGAGGCGTTCCAACGCGGAGTGGTCAGTAGATTGTACTGGTTCAATGAACTCCGAGGGGGTGAGAAGAGGGGTGATGTCGTGCCTACCTCCCACTGGATCAGGTATTTGTTTTCCTTCTTCTGCTAACCTGTCCGCTATTTCATTAAAGTGGTCTCCTGAATGGCCTTTGACCCAAAACCAATCTACTGTGGTGCGGTTTTGCAACTCTGCCAATAAGATACGTGCATATTTAATCATGGTTTTGTGTCTTTTAGCCTTAGATCTTCCCCTTACAGCGTCTGACATCCAACGACTGTCGTAGTAGAAGGAAATTTGTTTAGGCGGAGTGGTCAATGTTAGTATGTACAATGCCGCTTCCATCCAGGCGCTTAGCTCTCCTGTATTATTACTGCCTACTGTCGCTCCTAGGTGAACTGCTGCATGTGGATCAGTGCTGACTGGACCTTTTGAGGCAATTGAATCTTGATTGGTTGTTATGATTGTGTAGCCCCAGCCTGCGGGAGTAGTGGCCGAGCAACGGCCTTTGCTTCCCGACCCATCCGTGTATACCGCCCAATTGGCGTCAGTTGTGTTGAGATTGGGTATTGATTTGTGTTTGGTACATTTTTTAAACGTGTGATTGAACAGGGTTTTAGCGGAGTAGTCTATGGCGGAGTAATCTCTTGCAGGAGGTTTGATTGTGGAGGGTGGTTGGGCTTTGAGTTTAACCCGAATGACTGATTCTAGAAGATAATGGTCACTAACAAATCCTGTGCTATGAACTGCTTGGCATTGTTGAACCGTAGGTAACCATTTGGATCTGGTGACCAAACGGTCCAGTGCCTGGAATCTGTGCGGGTCGATGGTTGGTCGTTGTTGTTCGGGCACTAAGGCGGAGTAGCAAGTGAGGTAATCCCTGACTTTCCCTGCGACCTTTAGGTTCTCATTTTCTGACTGGGGCAAGCTTTGAAATCTATCCCAAATTGGTAGCCATCCTATGGGGTCACTAGAGAACGTGAGCCAGTCTAATGGGGGAGGGGATTTATCTCGGTATGTGATGTGCTTCAGAAGGTTACTCTGCTTGCAGGTTAGAACATCCTTAGCTTCAGAGGTACTCAGGAATCTCAGATAGAGCTCTCTGTTGTTACCTTCTGTGGTTGGTCTACTGAGCCTTCCCTTACCATATACATTGGGGCCCAACATGTGATGTTCATCTGGTTTTCTACCTTGTAGTCTCACATTGAAGTCCCCTATGATATAAACCGGCTCTGGTTGAGGAATTTTGTGCAATACTGAGTCTAGCTTATCCCAGAAGGGGAGCTTGCTAGTTTCAACCTCTCGTTTATTGTGTGGGGAGTAGACTCCTATGAGGTGAACATCTCCGGCCGATGCTGCTAGTGTGATTTGAAGGATCCTCGCACTATGCTGAACTACATCTTTGAGGTGTGGTAGAGTTTGGGGGGGAATGATTGCTGTCACTCCTGCGAACTTGTCCTTGTTACTGCCATTGCTAATGAACCTGTGCCCCTCTGAGGTGAATTGGTGGTATGTTGTGTTGCGTGTTTCGGTGAGGAAAAGGACGTCAAGCTTTCTACTACGGAGTAAAGTGAGGACTGACTGGTGTTTTAGTATTTCGGCCATTCCCTGTACGTTTTGTGTACCTATTTTAAAAGGTTGTCCATACGGCAAGGGTGGTGGGGCTACTGCTGGCGGAGTAGCCTTTTTTTGCTTGCCGATTTGTTCAGGCCTTAGTATGAGGGTTTTGAAAAGGTACGAATTTCGTACCCCGGTTTGGCGCCTACTTTTGACTGCTTTCAAGGGCACCCCCCCTTTTACCAGTGCGCTGCCCGACGCTTCTGGTAATATAGGCCCACCCACGCTCCTGCGCCAACGGCGGAAAAGCTGCCGTCGAAGGCGTCTAGAGCGGGCACCCAAACCTAGAGGGTGGACTGAAGAAGGGGGGGGAGGGGTGATACACTCTTCGTCTCCCGGTTGCCCGGGTCCCGGCGTGCCTCGTGGAGGCGGTGTTGGCCTATCCTTCTGTGAATTCGTTGGTGGGCGGAAGGGCCGGCTGGCCGAAAAATGGCGGAGTGGTCTTCGGGTGTAGTTTACCTTACGACCATCTGTGAAACGAAAAGAGACTCGCCTACCCGTTCTTATTTTGGGTCTGGGAGTGAGTTGAGGGAAAGGGGAATTTTCGGGAAGCTGTGGGGGGCTAATGGGTCGTTGGGAAAGGAGAAAATCACGGCTAAGTTTGGCTTGATGAATGAAGCTGTACTCCATAGTGGGTTGAGGGTACTCAGTGTACTTGTGGGGAATTAGAAGATCTAGCTGTAATGTTGTTGTGTTCCCGTTTTTGATGTGTTGTAATTTGTTGCGGAGTAGCTGTTGCAGAAGCTCCCACTGGCTTATCCCATACTTGATAAGTGAACATATTGTAGAATGAACTACCAGAGAATCCATAAGGACAATGGGGAAAGAGGATCTAGTGGTTGAGGTGTAGTAAAAGACGCATAAGAAGGCGATGATAATGTAGGTGCATGAAGCTTGAAGGTGAGGATTAGTTGGGAGTTTATTGGGTCTCTTTCGGCTTCTACGAACAACCCTCATATCCCACTGCAGGTCTTTAGCTGTGAGGGTTTGTTTGGCGACCTCTACAAACTCAGCGTGCGACCGCGATCGTGCAACACCCGGGGCACCCAAAAACCTGGAAACTCTGAAAGGGTAAAGTCTTATCATATGGGGGGCGGGGTGGTTGTGGGTGGAAGGCCTGCTCAACCCCTGACTTAAAACATCTCGAAGCAATTCCTTTAAGAAAGTTTCAAATGTGAAGTTGCCTTCGAGGAGTACCTTGAAATTGTGGGGGAGCGGCGCAGTAGCCTGGAGATAAAAAGAGGTACGTACCTCCCTGGCTAGATCGCGAATTCGAGCCGGAACCCTTCAGGCCGTGGGGGCCGTGAGAAGCGGAGTAGCCGCAACCGGGGCTCCGGAAAAAGTAGCCTGGCGGTAGTCGCCGCATTTGCGGCTGTTTTCGCCAAACTTATCACAATACTCATCCCAAACGTAGGCCACTTGGGACACCAGTCTGATCTCGAGGTCGATCGGGTACGGCATCGAGCTGGCGGAGTAGAGCATCGGGGCCGTCCAGTGACGGGACCCCTTCCCAGCAAGCATCCCCTTGCCCGTGCCCTTTGCTGCAGCCTTGGCGTTGGCGAAGTGGTCGCGCTCTGCTGCATCCATCTCCTGCTGGACCCCGAAGACGATCTTGTTCCAGCTGTAGGACCAAATCGTGTCCTCCTCTGTCATCAACTCATCGGGCGGAGTGGTTGCAAGCCAGTCGGAGATGACCTTTGTGATCTCGAGGATGCCTTTGAACTGCTCCCCCTCGGCGTAGTAGTGGAGGCGAGCGCAGGCGGTGGCTTGCTCATCAAAGCCGCGCGCCATTTGGGGCGACATCACCGTGAGCGTCTTCCACAAGATCACCACCTGGCGGGGCTCGGTCTCCTCCTTGAGGTTGAGGGCTTGGAGGAGTACTCGGATTGGAATTTCCAACTTTCGTTGGAATTGGGGGCTCGAAGGTGTAGCCCTGATATGGTGGCGGGGTACTGGAGTGCGCGCATCCTTGTACAGTGGGGTACCCTGAGTGCCACCATATGCCTCCATGAACGCCTTTCTCAGGTCCCAGGATTTGAAGCTGAGTAGCGTTACCGAGCTCCACTTCTGTGCCCCTGCCGGCGGAGTAGACGGGTCTGCCGAGAGGACATTGAGGTACTTGTACTCGCCGTCGAAGTTGGCCCACCCCCTCTGCTGCAAGAAGGCCTGGACGTGGGTGATCTGCTCGAGCATCCAATTGACCATGAAGAGCCGTTCGGAGGGCGACATGCTCGTATCCCAGCCGGTCAAAATGACCATGAGTGCAGCACTTTGCTTTTGGAGGGCTCTGTTCTCTGAAGCCATCCAGGCTAACTCCTTGGATTGGCGTAGTAGTCTATCGTCCAGCGAGACCAATGCTGCCTCAACTTGGTTGATCAAATTGTAGAGTTCAGGACGGATCACGGCGGTGTGGTAATGCCGGATGGTGTCCAGGACTTGCGCCCTGGTGGAAATCGTTTCCTTCATCCATAGGGCCATATCTGTCGGGTTGTTTGCGTTGACACCGGCGGAGTGGGCTGTGGCTACAAAGGCCGTCTCCTGCTGGTAGTGCATGGGCTGGAAAAGACCAGTGTCTTGCTTTGCCGGCGGAGTACTCCCTGAGGCGGTTGGAGCCGTTGGGCCAAAGGTGTCTCCGGTTGGGGTGGCCAGCCCCGTTGAGGAAAAGGCCGGTGTCGGGGGGCCGCGCTTGGCAACCCTGCGCTGCTCGAAGAACAACTGCTGTGAGGCGGCGTACGCTGGGCCCTGTACCAAGGTGGCCTGCTCGCTGTAAACGCGCCTGGCCTCCATGAGGCTCTCTGCGGCCCCTGTGCCATCCGTCATGGCTCGAAACTGGGGTGGCGTAGTAGCCCTTGAGGCTACAAGGCAAAACCCCGAAAAAAAGGCCGCGGCTGAAACCATCATGCGAAGTGGTCCCTGCCTGGCAGAAAATTGACTGTGCAAACTGAAAGCGAAACCCACCATGTCTTGCAGCGAAGGCTGAAAGCCGATACGCCTGATTGTAGGGTTTAGGGTTTAGGGTTTGGGGTTTCGGGTTTCGGGTTTCGGCTGCAAGACAGGCGTGCTTTCAGATGTCCCATTGTACGCAGTTGCGAGATGTTGGCTGAGGATGGTTCTGCGGCATCCGTTGACAGAGCGCATGGCTCTGTATGGAATGAATGGCGGCACATGCAGAATCCTCCCCAAGGGAGTGCCCTTGACATTTCGTTTCACGCAAAAGCAGGGGTGCTTTACTTCTCACATTCAGCACTGTGGGGTGTACACCCTGGACAGTCAGGTACTGCCCACAGATGAAGAGATGGACCAGTACGAGTTAGATGCCGTGGAACATCCCTCTGTTCAGGAAGCTGTGCGAAGCTGTTGTTTGCAAGCTTTGGTGTCCAGTGCTGCAATGTCATTCCCCTTTGAGGAGCAGTGGCGAACTCTGCTTCCTTTCGTGACCTCCTCTGACTTCACGATCAAGTGGGAGCGCCAGCTCATCTCCCTGCAAGAGCATGCCTATAGCCTATAATAGCCTATAGCCTTGCGGTGCATGGAAAGAAGTAGAAAGAGGAATCAGATCTGGAGGAGTGGAAGCCTGGCGACCTGGTGCTGTGGGACAACCGCTGCACGCTGCATTGTGCATCAGGCGCCCTTCCCACGACGCAGCAACAGGAAAGCCACAGCCTGGACAAGAGAAAAGGCGTTTAATTGGCGTTCAGCAGGTTTAGAGGATTTAGCGTGTTGAAGGGAGTTGGAGGGTTCAAGAGGTTTTCAAGCTTTGGACCGCTGAACACTTGGTCAAGCAGATACTGTCGGGGCATGTCGTTCTTTTTGTGGTAGTCCGGTTATCTGGTGCCTTAATCTCATGGTTCGTTCGCCTTCCCAGCCGTCGGCTGCTCAATTCCTGTTCATATTCTATGGTGCATCAGCTTGTAGCCGTGCTGACGCTATGGGCAGTCTACCCAGACTGCCAAGCAATACGAACTGGGTACGATGGCACCCAGGAACGGAGCTGTGTGCCGGCCACACCGCGCACAGAGCAGCCTGGCTCATTTGCTCTCGATTATCAACATGCCCGGAACGTGGACACAATGCAGCGGTGGTCGTTGAAGACGACGATGGCCTGCGATGGCGAGGAAGCTTGCCAGGTTGCACTGACTCCAGAAATTGACCCAGATCAGCCCTTGCGCAGATCACGATTGCTGATCAATGTCTACGCAAATTGCTCGCTGCATGGCCAAGAGCTCTTCTTGTGCTCGCGCGGTTCACCTTGTGTTGTCCCAGCCCCAGCGTTTCCCAGCTTTTCTGACCGGGCCTTTTGCGTTCATGTGCGTTCCCTTGCGCCTCATGGTGAAGCATTGTGAGCCTGAGGCTTCTGTTCGTTTAGCCCGCCGGAATTTCCGGCCGCGAGACCTATTCGGCTTCATGTTCGATGGAACCAGGACCGCGGTTTGCTCATCAGGTCATCTGCTTTCTTCGCTAGGGGTCCTGTTCCTCGGAGCCGTGCCCTGAACCCTAAACCCGAAACCGAGAAGCCATGGGCGCTGAGGATGCAGGTCCTTGACAACCGGCGGCTCGTCACGGATGAAGTCCTTGAGGCGCTCCTCCTTGCCGAGATCATTGCCACCGCAGGCAGGGCCTTAAGTCATCCTGTAGTTCGAGAACTCAAAGGCTCCGTCTGCCTCGGCTGCCAGCTGCCGGTCTGAGGGTTGCTCTTGCAATAATATTCATCATCATAACAAACATAATCGAAATCGTAATCTTAATACAAAGAATAGTCATAATATTAATAATAATAGTTATGATTATTATTATGATTATTGTGATGATAATGATTATGAGGGAGAGTGGGGGGGGGGGGGGGCGGTAAGGAGGATGGGTCCAGGGCAGGGGGGTTGAGATGCGGAAGGAAGCTTGCATTCCCCTGCCAGGGGCACTGCTGTGGTTCGCTTTCGAGCTGTTCATGTCCTCATCCCCAGCGAACAACGATGCCAAGTTCTCTGCACCTGATGCGAAGCTTCTAATCCCAACGGCCTTCGACATAATGCTGGAAGGGCTGTTGGATGCATTGTGCTTCATCTTCGGGTGTGTGCTTTGGTTGCTCGCGTGCTCGCAGTTCCTTCACAAGTATGGATCAGAGAGTCGGGTAGTTGACACCATCATCCTCTGTGTCCCCGTCATCTTCGGTCCTGGAGCATTACTGCGAATCTTTCTGTCCATGATTCGTCGGCAGCTCTACTACGCTTTGCTTCGGCGTGGAGTCTTGCTGAAACTGGAGCAGATCCCATCATCTCGCGATCTCTTGCTGATCTGGTCTTGTGTTGGCCTGATTCTGGCTGTTTCTGCGGTGTTGCGAGGGCTATTTCTGGCAGTCAAGACCGGACAAATCCGAAGTATCGATGTGGTTGTGACCCAGCTGCTGGTATTCATATCTCCACTCTACACCATCATCTCAGCGTTGCTTTATTCTCTGGACATGGAGTCTGTATGTCTGAAGAGGAAGTGCACACTGGAACTGGAGGTTGCGGAAGAGAAGTTGACTGTAAGTACAGATCATGAGGTCACAGTCTTGTCAGAGCACCACTTCTGCGCAGCGGCAAGTACCGTGACGTCTGCGTCAGACCTTGTGAACCTGAGTGCCAGCGGGAATATCCCAGCTGAAGGCCAGAGCCTTCGACTTTCGGCGCGTGACATGCGATGGGCAAGTCGCCTTATCAGCCAGACATGCCTAGAACACCGCATGGCGCTTGTGCTGTTCATGCCGGTACTAGCCATATGCATCTCGGCACTCAACCTAACCTCAACAGTGCTGTGCATCAAGCACCGCAGTGATATGCCGCAGTTGTCCTCCCTAGAGTCGACAATCGGTGAGCTCGTGCCATCGTTATCTCCGGAGCTACGAGAGTACACTCTGTACGTTGACATCATGCGCAGGGGCCTCTCAATTGAGGCGGGCATGGACCAAACACAGACCACATCTCTGGATGTCTCCATTGCTGGAGACACCAGTCCACCGCACGTGTCCCGATTTGATCTGGGAAATTTGCGGCTCGGTGGCATGTTACGAGGCGGCCGTCTGCGAAGTACTTGTAGCGACCTGACGCCTTAGCTCCAACCCCCCTGATAGCTGATAGCTTCAACATGCTTCAACAAAATCCTCTTTCCCCCTACTGAGCCGAGCCCTACTGTAAGCCCTCAGAATCTTTCTCATAGGGCAGTGGACTCAACGACCAAAAACAAGGGTTCGTGACGTGGGGAACGGTCCGCTGCAAGCACGTCTTTTGGGCATCATCCGGCTCCCGCTTTTGACTGCAAAAGATGCTGTCTAAATTTACTAAACCCTAAACCCTTAACCCTAAACCCAAATTTAGAGGCTGTCGAGCCACAAGCTGGAAGTTGATTTAGGCGATCTGCCAAAGTTCGGCTCCATCGTCCTCATGCAGCGTATCCCACTACCGTTGCAATCACGGCGAAGACGCGGATAGAGGCACGACAAGGCTTAAAAGCGTGCACTTTTCGCATGCAGGCAACAGTAGGAGAGCTGCGGTAGACAGCGTTGCAGACTTTCATTTGCATTTGTTCTGCAGACTGCAGCTGTTGTCGGTAGATGTGCTTCTCTCATGCTTGCAGGAAGAGCACTATCAGCTTCAGGTTGTGCAAATCACAACGGTTCTTCGAACGCTGATGCTGACGGGTGAGACCTCCGCTGGCATGCATTTCCGGCGCTGCGTTTTCGGGAATTGGCTGTCCCATGGCGATCTTGCGATACCTGGCAACCTTCAAAGCCTGCAGATTGAGATTACTTCCTCAAACATCCCCTACGGCATTCCGGTCAGCTCTGGGTTGGCCGACCGATTTTCGACCGTGTACTTACCCATGCAGCCGGGAGACTGCCAGCGGCACTGCGTTCAGCAGCGAGACTGCTTCGAGTCCAAGATTGCCAGCACTAAAGGCTGCTTCTTCATTTTTGGGCCGACTTCCTTGACCTGTGAACAAGTGCACAAAGATGAGAGTCAAGGATCACCTTTTCCCATGAGCCTCGTGGCAGAGCTATGCTCCAAGAACCGGGCGAACTGCACCTATTTGAAGAAGCGAAGTTCGCCGCCACACTTGCTGACCGGCCTGCTCCGTGATCTGAATGGTTCCTTCTCATTCAAGACTTACATCAACTCCAGCGGCTCCGTGTTCCCCTTGAAGCGCAATCAAATGACGCTCTATCAAGGCACACCACCTCCTAAGACAGTACTTGCTCAAGCCAGGACTGACTTGAATGTTAAAGTGAAGATTCGAAAGGACGAGACAGGCTTTCGATTCGACCTGGTGCTAGCCTACGATCCGACCCTCGCCAAGATGCTGTGGAACAGCAGCGGCTTCGATCTGAGCTTGGCAGCCATTCTTGAAGATACTCTTGTCTCTCTGCGGTGGGAGGATGGCATGGCAGAGAAGCCAGCAAAACCTCGAGTTGGGAATGGTACGACCTTCGCGCAGTGCGATGATGCTTTCTACCTCCATAGCTATCAGGCCTGTGGAGGCCATTTTGACTCACCAGTCACGACGATCCGAGTTGACGCTTGGGCACCGGCTCGATCTGTATACGGACTTTTGAGTTCCCGCGCAGCGTGGCTGAATGAGACCCGCAAAGTGGAGGTGAGATTGACAACTGTGGACAATTTAGAGCCGCTGCAGTCTTTGGCACGAAAGTCCTGCTCCATGCCCACGTGTTTGGGTGGTTTCAACGAGTGCGTGACTGCTGCCCACTGCAACAAGAAGAGCTCATGTTATCATTCATGCGGTCAAGAAGCGTACCGCAACTGCAATCGGCTCCGCGAGAATGGGTCTCAGTTCGTCGCGTCCATCTCAGATTCTTACTCCAATGGCAGGATGGACCAGTACGCAAGGCTCTTTGCCTGCAAGCATCTTCCTCCGCCTTAGGGCAGCAAACAGAAACACCCTGCACAGCAAGAGAGGCCAAAAGGGGTGCTGACCCTGGCAGTCCACCGGTCTCCTTTCAACCCCCAGACCCAGCTCCTAAAACCCGAAGCCCGAAGCCCCTGCCTTCTGCAAGGTTGGGCCTGGCAGCCGCCTTGGACCCAGAGCCAGGGATGGCGAAACACTTCACCTACGAGGCGATCTCGAAGAGAACCTGAGCAGACCTTTTCTAGGTGTGTTTGTGTGTGAGAGATGGCGTGTGTGTGTATGGTGTGTGTGTGTGTGTGTGTTTTTTTTTGGGGGGGTGGGGCGTGGGCGGGGGGGGAAGTCGGGTTTACGGTTTAGGGTCAGGGGTGCAGGGCCTCGGTCTTACGTAGGTTTTGAGTCGCAGACTTGTGAGTCTTGCAGGTGATCAAGGATGTTGCGGCTCACTGTGGGATCAAGACCGGGATGCTGCACCTCGTGTTCCGGAAGCTCCGGTCATTCCAGCAAAGTCCGCAGAAAGCTCGCGCCATGCAGCTTTTCCAGCGCCTCTCCGTGAATCCCGATTTTCAGGAGAAGCAGAGGGTCTCGAAGAGTCCAATTCTTGCTCCGCTGAAGAGCATCTTGCCCACATCCTGGATGTCCCTTAAAGAAATCATGCTCTACTCCTCGGACCTCGCACAGATGCAGTATGCCTTCTGCATGAATGCACCAGTAAGCCAGGACGCAGGGAGTATACTGGCGGCTCTACTTGATAAGATTGCCGCAGCCGGATATGTCAATGCGTACAAGGAGAAAGCCAACTGGCAGCACACAATGTCATCCTTGATTCAGTGCATGCAGGACAAGAAAAGGACGCCTGTTCCGCCCGGATCATGCAGAAGTGACCATGACTTGGAGCGCCCTTCGCTCTTTCGTATAGCACCGGATCCTCATGTCTTCGAGCTCCTGCTTCCATTCTGTGATGTCTCCAAGTCCGTTGAAGTGGATGGGAGCACGGTGCTCCACCTGGCGGCACAGAAGAATTGGTCACAGAGCATAGAAGCCGTTCTGCAGCGCCACCTCGTCCCTGACATTGACAGTACACGTACCATCAGATTCAGCACTAAGTCAGCCTACGAAAATGTCACGATGTATAATGTCACAGCGCTGCATGATGCAGTGCAATCCTCGTGCACAGCTTGTACGGCTGACTTGCTGATTGCTGGTGCGGCGGTGAACCATACCACAGAAATCGTTGCCAGCATCGGCACCAGCTTCATCCCGGTGGGCATTTCGACTTTGGGCTACGAAGAGCACGACGGCTCGCTAGGCAACCTGTCACCACTGCACCTGGCTTGTGCAAGCGGTTGCGTCGGTTGTGTAAGGATCTTGCTAGACGCGCGTGCCGACATCAACGCAGAGAGTATTCTGGCGGATGCGGATGTAGTATATGGAAAGCACAGCAGTCGCAGAGAGGTGAACAACAGGGACAGCTGACCCTTGGATAGAATTACATCATGGATCCGTTGTACAGGGGTGAGTTGGAGGAAAGCCTTCCCATTTGATTGCGTTTCAAGCTAAGCGCCTGTAGATCAGACTCAGACGGTGGGCCTGCTGCACCGTGCGATCGTCTATGCGTCTGTCTAAACCCTAGCCCTTTTTATAAACCCGGTTACAGTCGGCCGGTGAGGCACGTTGCGTCCGCTGGATATTGCCATAAGCTACTGCAAGCAGTGTGCCTGGGAGCTCGTGCGCGCCGGTGCGGCAAAGGAGCACATTGTCGTGCCGAACAACAAAGTCTGGAGCAGGAGCATTAAGAGAGTTCATTCCCCTCATGAGTTGCCACCGGCCAAGGAAGAGCACATGTTTTTCCTTGGTTCGAGTCAGGACAGAGTTCGGCAAGTGTGTTTAGGCCCGCCCTGGCCCACCCTGGGGCATAAAAACAGCTTCTGTCCCAGATGTGTGAGGTACTCGCTGGTCCCTGAAGCGGAGGTACGCGTCTGTGAGAACTGGCTCTTTGATCGGAAGCTTGCCACTTCGGTCAAAATCCTTGCTTCCATGAAGACAGCTCTTGGCATCGGGGGGCAGAAAATTTGATGTGCCGTGCTCGGAAGGATGCACATATCTACAGATCGCAGGATGCGTCTCACCCCATGCCGTGCTCTGTACACGACCATGCGCCGCAGCAAAAGGAAGTGCCAGCGCCTCTGCTGCAGCTTAACTGCGCGCTCGAAGCCATCTGTTACGCTCGAAGCAAATTTCTCTTGTGCTTGCAGGCTTCGACCGGGAACGCTACACCCGGGAGATGTGGCGGACGACCCTGTCCCGAGATCTCCCTACTGCTGCCAGTCTCCTGAAGCAAGCATAAGTGGCAATGAAGCCGAGCATGCTGACGATTCCAAGCGTAGCAGCTCAGCAAATGTTGCTGTTGTACTCTGCAGTGGCCCTGGCTTCAACTTCATACTTGGTGAGGACTGAACAGGCCCATGTGCACAAAATCTCGCGCTCCTGCCACTTCAGAAGGTAGTTTACTGTAGATCAGCTTCAATGCTACTTCTTTCAGGCCGCTAGACCAGTGTAAACCGCCATTCAGCCCTCAAATCCTTTCAAAGATGAAGGTCTTCAGTGCAGATGGAGACGTGACTGCCGACGAACTGTAGGATGACATGACATTCCATCCTGAACCCAAACCATACCATCAACAAGTCCGGAGCCTCTAAACCCTTTTCACAAGTGTGCATGTGCGGGGGAAGTACTATGTACGGCTGATCCAAAGCCTGACTGATCCGTGCAGCAACGAGCATAGAGTATTGTTGTGCTGAGCACGTGCAAAAGCGTCCGACAGTTCAAAGCCCAAGCTATCCCAGATCTTCCAGGCCAAACTGAGATCGCAGGTCGAAAGAAACACAGCTTATCCACAGCGTAGCCCATGGGCATGTATGCGCCCCTGGTTCGTGGTGCCATCATGACGTCTCCGACTTTGGTGTCGACTCCCCGCACGTCATTGGCCAAGTTGTGCTGTGCCCAAACCCTCCAGCCTGTATATGGGGGTTTACGATATCAGGGGGTACCATTTTGGGGTCCTTATTCCAAGAGGATCCTACTCTTGGGGGGTCTGTATTAGGGGTCCCTTATTATCGTAAGCCCCCATATTGAACGGGTTAAAGTCCCGGGCTGGGGGTTGAAGAGTTAGACCATTCATGCGGTTCGTTCACTGTGTTCACTCCCTTCAGTCTAGTATTAATAAAGTAAATTTCTAAGGAAAAGACAGAAGCGAATGACGCACGACATTCACGCAACAAAATATGTCTTTTTGGAGTTATTACTATTAGTGTTCTCCCGGCCCAATGTAAGTAGCATCAATGGCCCGGAAAAGTATAGTGACTGGTCGAAGTGAACCAGGGAGTAGAATTATAAGGAACAAGTGAACAAAGGAGAGAACGAAACGCAATCATTCTAGAGAAAGCGCTTCTAAAATTCCAATCCCCCAGCTGCTTGTCGGAATGTCGGCAGGGTTAGGTATCTTCGCCTACTGCCACCAGCTTGCCACTGTCCTTCTTTCGAAGCCTCGCATGTCCCAATGCAAAACTGCAAGTACGAACCCTGAAGAGCACGCAATTAGTAACGTATTGAGCTAGCAATATATAATATTAGCAGAATAGAGTAGAATGTAGCATGATCTAGTAGTATAGTGACATAGTATAATATAATGCTACCGTGCCCGGACGGGCCATGTCTTCCTTGGCGTGCGCGTTGAAAATTCTTGGGGGGTTGGGGGGGTGGGGGGCTGGGGTTGGCTTGGCAGGGTAGGTTGGCCGGATTTTGCAGGCCTTTTTCAGGGTTTCCGATTTAGGGGCCCGGCTCTCTACAGCCCCAAAAAGGCCGAAACCTGACGCCCCAAAGCCTACAGCCCTTTGATCCCTATACCATAAGCCCGAAATCCCTAGACCCGAAAGCCCTGGGCGGTACTCGTAGAAGCCACTCTTAGATGCAAGCCCGGGGTTGCGGAAGTGCGTGGGCAAGCCTACAAAACCCCAAATTCAAAAGCGCATGAAGCTGTCTCAGGCCGTGCGCAGCACTCCCGGTCGCAACACCGGCGCAGCGTCGTGCACCTAAGATGTCTTGCTTGCAAGGCTTGACAAGTCCTGTCGTGCCAGTGACGAAAGGTGGCGCAGCATGCTTGTTACGACCAGAGCCACCGACTCTTGATCAACTGAAAGCTGCATCAGGCCCACCAGAACCCTGACAACTGTGAGTCGATATTTACAATCCCCAAACTTAAAGAAGCAAACATCTCAAAGCATCTCTTCAGATTCCGAACATCTCCGGGCCCACTTTACATGCGACAAGACATCTACGCCTCACTGCAGGCTTCCAAGTGGCCTTGGTCTACACCGTGAAGTGGACGCTGGCAGCTCTGTTGTGCGTATGGGCTGCCCAGTCCTCAGAGCAAAAACCCAGCAAACTCCCTGAGACGCCGCCCATTCTTCCCTTGTTGTGGCGTTGCACGAATGGAGCATGAGGTTTGCCGACTACGTCGTGGAGCTCGTCGGTGTCTGACTTGGAGACAACACTTGAAAGGGGCGCAGCGGCTGTCGGTGGCTGTCAGCGGCTGTCAGTCTGTAAAGGCAGCCGCGGAGGCTGAAGACATGTCCCATTCCAGAGGACTATCGAGCAGCCTGCGACTCAATGAGTAGTGCAAGAGAGTCATAGTGAGTGAAGGCTGGGTTCTGTGGGCAGAAGAGACTTCGGGCTTGCATAGGCCGGTGTGATCTTCTACACGCTGGACACGCTTCAGGATGTAGGCGGGAGCTCACTCCTTGAAAAGCGCGCCCCTTGCAAGGCCTTGCAGCTTCCTCACCTCCTCTCAGGACAGATGCTCCTTGCGGTGGAGGAGCGGAAAGTGAATCTGAAAGAGCTGCTTGGCCGCGGCCCCAAAAATTCATGTCTGGGACTTCCACCAGAATCCTAGAATCCCAGAGCCCAGCCTCCCCACTCTTCGACTACCCGTACTAGACCCTAGACCCGCAAGTTGCGAAGTTTGAGCAAAGTAAAACCCTCAAGAAGAATGCCCAGGTGCTGGTTCGGGCTCCGACCGAAGAAGAGTGTGGGCCTCGGTTTACAGAATGAAGGTTGAGATGCCCCCTGTCAGCTTGTGAGGTGCTCCTCTTTCCACAAGGGAAGGTCGAGCCGGAGGTGTGGACCGAAGACGAGGGTTCAGGGTTGTTCGGTTCGGGGTGGTCTAGAGTCTAGACGAGGAGTTGTCAAAAAAATATGGTTTGCACATGCGCCGTGAACCGCAGCCCAAGGATGCGGATGTCGTTGCCACAGCACGGCGGGAGTTCATCGAGGAGACGTGCCTGAATGTCAAACCGATGTATGCGTGGCATGGAGCTGGCTATGAAGAGCGAATGCATCTTCCTCTTTACTTGCACCGTCTTGCTTTAGCCATGGAAGAGAATCTGCATGCAGATCGTCATGTCTTTCCAGGAGACAGGTGATCCCACAGATTTGGCCAAATATCTCCAAGGCCTTTGGGCTTCCCTCCTTACGGTGCAAGTAGATGCCTGGTCCAATCCCGCAAACAGGTCATTTGCCGTCGACGTGGTTTCCAGCAGCGAAGATGGGCGTGGTATTTTGCGAGGCATTTTGGCACACTGTACACTGTAGATGGTCAGTTGAGGTTTAGATTTCAGGGTTGAAGGTCAGGGCCTACTTGGAGATGAGCGGGTAGTACAAGTCGGGAATCAGTGCGCCAAACTTTAAGGTTATATAGCTCGTTACACCTCTTGCCATCCTACTCTTCCAACTACATCTACCTATAAGCCACCAAGCTGGGCTAGGGGCTTTCGGGGCATAAGCGGTTTCGGGTTCAGGGTTAAACCCTGGCTTGGGCCCCCTGGATAACCCCAACTTGCCCTCAACATACAGTCTGCTCATCCCATGCAGGTTCCGGCAAGTGCAGCTGAGCCTTTCAGCCAAAGAGCGCCATGTCGGCAGGAGCAAGGGCGGTACCGCTCGTTCCTGGATCCTAGGTGAAATGGATGTAAAGCATCAGAGTAGCATCATGTCATACAATGTCATACACTTTGAGTCAGATGGTGTCAGGCACCTGCACCGCAGCCAGAACCACGCCCACGACGTGAGCAACCGCGGCAGAAGGACGAGTTCCCAGCGAGACAGCACGAGCTTGCTGTGGTCAAGTTGGGCACGAAATTTCCGAAATTCTTCGAAGGATAAAGACAGCCATCAAAAAGCAGCACTGCCCCTGCAACCCGTTTGGGTCGATGCCGGGCACTCTGCTTGTGTGGTGTTTTGTCATTCTGCATTCAAGATCTGCTTGCCAGCTTGTCTGAGCCCTTCAAATGGCCCCCAAAGATCCGGAAGCTAGGGGAATGGAAAGATGCTCACTGCGAGGCCTCCTCCCTCCGCAATGCTCTGAAGTCCAAGACAGGTGCGTTGAGCCGTTGAGCTCTGTGGAGTGCGAAGTGACCACGACATGATGCTGCGCAGGGCAGGTGGTGACGAGCACGGGACCGTTCCACCTCTTTCCAGCTCTCGCCTTGTGAACGTGTCGCACGATGTCAGCATTTGCATGCTTCTGTCCTCACATCTGTTTTGCACATCGGTTGTCAGACCAAGGTAACGAGAAAGTTTCTCCTTCTTGATGAGGTCAGGGACTGGTTAGGTACTTCCCGCGCACATCGAGCAAGCCAAGCAGGCAACTGAAGGGAGCCTCCAATGGTTGGCGCAAGTACTCATGGGTATTCATGGGTCGCTGCCACGAGAGATGACCCGCTGTACAGAGAAGGCAAGTGATGAAAGTGTATGACCGTTGCCCGCATGGTTTTTGCGAGCACCAGAATCCGCCAGAACTTCTGCATCCACACGTTCTGTCATGTCTGACGTGGCTCGCGGGAAGCAGGGCGTGCGCGGAGAGTAACGATATGCAAAGACAAACGCAAGCCAAGGCGGCATTGGCTTAGTCACTTGACCCACAGTCTCAACTACGTCGAAGCAAGCAAGCCTGAAGCCTTCAACATGATTTCCGCTTCCTCTCCTGCGGTCTGGAGAGGCTGGCGCAAGAGTTTTGATGCTGAGCATCTGCTCAGAACCCTTGGCAGGCCATGGCTTGCGTGGAGCCGACGGCCTTCGGGCAGCACCCAGGAGTGGCTTTCAGAGGCGCCGCCGTGATGCCGAAGTACCCTCTCTTGCTGCTCTCTCCTGCCGGGGTAGTTGCAGCTCCTCAGGCCTGAAGGGCGGTGGCAGTGGGGCAGCATGGAAGCCAGACTTGGCATCCTCGCCAGCGCTGCCGTGCTCAGAGGCTTCTTTCGGATTTGTATGTTGCGATGAGAAGGAGCCATGTCTATCAGTCCAAGGGCGCAGATACCAGCACCGGCACATGCCAGCTCGAGCCGCTTCTGCAGGCAGTTCAAGATGGGGTAAAGAACTGAAACGCGGTGATGTGTTGGTTTTTCGTGATTTGGTCAGGCTCACAGTTCTCGCTGCCCGATGGGCGTGACGTGCGTGTATGCGCTGATGAGGGAGAGGTGGCTGCAGCCGTAGCAGCCTGGAGCTTGCTGCACGCGTGATGCGGAATCCCCCACCCTAGCCCCGCAAAACGTCATGTGCGCACGCTGAGGCAGAAGTTGCTTCTCGCGCAGGTGCCTCCAAGCTTGTCAACATTGTGCGCTCTTCAGTGAGATGACAGACGTGGTTGCTTTGTGCAGCAACGATTGTCATTCCGCAGCAACATTTTAAGTCTGGACAGGTGCTCTGCAATTTCTGTAGCGACTCAGTGCACATAGCTGAATGGGGATCTGCTGGGGACAAGCCACGCAAACAGCTTCTGATTTGCACGGCATGATGTGACGGCCGGCCAAGGACCTACATTCTAAACTCCATGCACGCTTCAGCTCGGTCTTCTTAAATTGCCAGCCCTTTGTAGCGCGTCCATAGGAACACCCTGTGAAAGGAGTGGCTGCGGGGCGACCAGCAACGCGGCAAGGACTTGGAGTTGAGGTTTGACGACGTGGTGGACGAGCAGCAGCGGAAGAAGCAGCCGCCCACACAGCCCACACAGCCCACACAGAGGTAGCCAGTCACAGCAGCGATGTTTCCGTGGCAGACGCAGATGGACACCGTGCCGAGCAACCAGCGTGAAGAGCGGCGCTCCGTCTCTCCGACATCTCCAAGCGTTTGAAAGGCGAATCCAAACGAGGTCCTGGTATCGTGCCAGGGCTCAGTCGGCCAGTGCTACATTGCTACGATTTGCTACGTGAGTTAATGGTCGCCGCCTTTGACCAGCTCTCCGCAGGATTCTGCGAGCAACCCTCGATTTGGCCGGAAGGTGAATGATGCTCATGTGACGATGGCAAGTGAGCTGACAACCCCTCTGGTACAAGTAGCGAGTCAAGCAGATACGCTGGTTGCGGCACAAGCATTCGGAAGAAAACGACGCTGCTCAGAGCTGTGGTGGCTGGCTTGGTGTGCTGTTCCGGCTTTTTGGTGTCACGCAGGTGCTGCCATCGCGGAGAAAGGTGCCTTCTCCATTTGCGTGCCTGGCAGCTTCGGGCCAGCAGATGGCAAGGCAGCGCCGCAAGCCAAGCCACCCTGTAGAAGGTTTGCGCCACTGATTCAAAGAATGGAACCATCCCTGTTGGAGCTTGGCTTAGGAACACAGAGGGCGATTCCAGGGCGATGTGGCCCAGCATTGTCGGGTAAAGCTGTCTTTTTCGGGAGCCGGTCTTGGGTGAAGCAGAGCCTGCCACAGGAAACAGGAAAGTGGCAGGAGATGGCAGTGAAGGGGAGCAACATCCCGGGCTGTGATAGAGTCTGATAGAGCTGCTGAAGTTTCTGCGGCTCCGTAGAGATGTCTCCTATGTCGCCTATGTCCTATCCGTCTCTCTTATCGAACCCCTTACGAAACGGAGGCCATCAAAGGCAGCCGCACTTGCAAAGCCCAGCGAAACCTCACTACCAAGGAGTGTCTGTGGGGTAAGGGGGTCCGAAGCGCTGCTCGCCTGCAATCCGGGGCTGGGAATGTAGGCGGATGGAAAGGAAATTGTCATCCCTTTTTCAAGGGCTCCCCTCGCCTGAAGCAACCTGGAATCTCCGCCACAATGCGCTGTGTTTCCCACTGCGTCGCTGCAAGCACCTGCCACTTCAGACCATCCATCGGAAAAGCTAACGAGCGGGAGGGTGGAAATTCGGAGGCCATGTTTTTTGCAGGAGGTGGTCCTTGTACTGAGCAGGAACAGCTTTCCTAGCATGACTTCGAGTTCCAGGAAGGATCTGGCCCCTCATTTCATGTGTTTAGGGTTTCCAGATCACACCTGCAACTGCATCGTCTTTCACATCACAACTAGGACTTCATGCGACAGGCCGCTGCTGGTGCGCAGCTTATCGGAGAATCCCTCGCGACGCTTTCCGGGCAAGGCAGAGTTGCCCTAAACCCTACTAACAACTACTACTTGCTAAAAAAATTCTTCCTTATAAGGGGAATATAGGGACATATTCTTCCTTACAAGGGCAATATAGGGATTGTTTTTGTTCATTCTGTGGAAGTTCTTAAGCAAATAGTAGTAGCGTCAGCGCGGTAGTGCAGGTTGCCGTTTACCCCGCGATCCTTTTCCAGCCTGTTGAAACTCAGATCTGGACTTTGACAAGTGGCATGTTTTCTTCGCCGGCGAGCGATTGGATTGCCAGGCACCAAAGGGGGCCAGGATAAACTGGGGAAATTCGGGGAATCAGGGCCAGGAGACACACAACAGAAGCGTCGCCGCGGCAACGACGTTGTTGCCCTGACAGGAGTCTTTCTTGCTGGCGAAAAAGCTCTGGATAGACAGCTGCAAGATTCCGGAGTCGCAGGCCAATTTGCCAAGCAAGTGCCAGAAAGCAAAAAAAAACTCGGTTCGTGCGTGCTCGGTGCCTTGGTCCGTTAACCTGGGGGCTCCACAGGTTCATCCGATTCCCCAGTTTATTCCGGCCGAGGGCGCAGCGGCTCAATACACAGCCGCGGGGCAGCAATAAACTTGTATACTTTTGACAGATCAGTGGCACATTCGGCGTGCTTCACCGCTTGGGCGCTAGGCAGAAATTTGCATGCAGCCGCGCACCTGGAAGTGACATTCGCTGACAGTCTATGTTGCGTGTACCACGGCCGCCTGGCAATGCGCCACTTCAGGGATGAGACCGTCCTGGTAGACAGCGAGCAGGCCTGTGTTCTCTGAGGGAGGCTCTTGCGCCCATGGGACGTAGGACCCGCTTTGCTCGGCATCCGAAGGGCCTGCCTGCTGTTGACCTGCTCCTGCTCGACATGGCCGAAGATGGCACCATAGGGCGTTTGAAGCCAAACTCGTTGGGAGCCCAAGTTCGGAATCTGGAGGTCGGGCAACCCGGCTGCGCTTTTCTTGCCTGCTCTTGTGCTCATTAGTGCTCATGTTGTGTAAGACTACTCTGCGAGCTGTGGCGCCCTATCAGTTGCCAATGTCCCTTCCGCCAGCTTGGCTCCAAAGTATTCCAACTTGTTTGTGTGTGTACAGCCCATGCATTGCACCTAGCCCGAGTTCGGTTCCCCAGCCGATGCACGATGCGGACAGATGGTGCAAAACGGCATCGGTATGATGCACGGGAAGGTTCTGCCACTTCGGGCCTTTACCCTGCATTCTCCTTGAGAGCCCTGTGCTGCCAAGCGCGAAGGTCACAGACTCGCCCAGGCAAGAAAATCAGGTTAGTCTCAAGCCTGACATCGGACTCGGTGGATTCGCAGGATGTGCCGGAATCCCTGGAATCCAGCACATCCAGTGCGGGGTTCTCAGATCTGGAGGCAGGCGCACCGGCTTTCAGGCCGCCGCGGTCGCGCTGCGGGCGGAGGCGTGAGGTCGGAGCACCTGTAGCTCGCCTTTTTATAGGTGGTTGCATGTCTAATCATGATCTTACATGGTTATACGGGAGAACATATTTTCGCACATTCTCGTTTAGCATCATATATTATCGGGATCCACTGTCCCCCACCCTCCCCCCCCCAAATCCCCAAATGCTTTAGGCACATGCAAGATGCCGTAAGGTACCTCGCGTTCCAAGCACCTCCGGAGTTTCGAGCCGGCTGGGCAGCGTCAGGGCTGTCCTGGTCGTAGTGGCACTTCTTCTTTTGCTTTTCTTGCGTTTTGATCTACCACACCCAAAAACCTGGGCGGCCACGATGGTACTTCTGCCTGTGAGGGCAATCTGCAATGCTGAGTATACTTTGGTTGTCCTGGCTCCCGCGATCTGCTGGATGACTCTTTACATATGGAGCCGCTTAGAGCTTCCAGAGCAAAACTGTGCAGCTGGTCAGCGCATCTCTCATATGCTTGGGACCAGTCTGTGGGTCAGCTTGATACTGGTGGCGCTCACGGCAAGTTTTGGTGGCGATTTTTCAGTGCGCCTCGTGGCAGCTCTGATCTATTTTCCTGCTGCAGCACTTCGGCTGGTGTATAGAAGCGAGTGGTGCAAAGGCAGCCGTAGACTAATAAGCACTTGGTCGGTATTCCTTCCGCTGATCTTCGAGTACAAGCTGATGTACTGGTGGCTACGCTTTGCTGGGCTGGAGCAGGTGACCGATGCTTACAAGCCCCTGCATGAGAAGTACGCCCCTCGTGTCCTTCGTCTCTTGGTGGACCAGGGGGGCGTCTTTGTCAAAATCGGGCAGATGCTCTCCTTGCTACCCTCCGGGGTTTTGCCCGAAGCCTTTACCAAGCAGTTCAAAAGCCTCCAGAGCCGCGTCCCGCCACGGCCGGGGAGCGAAGTGAGGCGGCTGGTCTCCGAGGCTTTGGGTCAGCCCCTGGACTCCGTCTTCAGCCGCTTCGACGAGGCCAGCCAGCCAGGCGAATGTACTAGAACGTCAACAATAAATAATAAAATAGAATCACAATAATCATCATCATCATCATCATCATCATCATCATCATCATGATCATGATCATAACAACAATTATAATATGAATAAGAATAGTACTAGTAGTAGTAGTAAAAGTAACAGTAACAGGAACAGTCATAGTAATAGGAGTAGTAATAGCAATATGACTAATAATAGCCATATTAGTAATAGTAATAGGAATAGTAAAAAGAATAGCAAGAATAATACTAATAATCAGTCATCATAGGAATAAGAATATTCATACGCTGCAATACGCGCTGGAATATTCACAGTGAATTTTTTGAGGCCATTTTCTAAGACACTGGGAAAAGCAGTAGGCGCAACCCACAGTGTGAAGAAGCCGCCAAGAATGCTCTGTCAAGTTGAGCTGAACGCTGACGAAGTCTGCAAATTATGTTCAAGCAGTTTCGTGATTCGTTGAGAAGAGTCGATCGAGGTTCCAATCGGGTCTGCGAGCATTGGACAAGTGCACCGGGCAAGATTGGCGGCCACCGGCAGTGAGGTGGTCGTGAAGGTGGGATGTACATCGACACAGGTAAGTAGGACTGGTTGTCAGGGAGCCTCACAGGGGACCCAGCAAGCATTGCTTTGAAGTATCAACTTGGATTCTCCTGGATGGGCAGGTGCAGTACCCCGAGGTCTCCCAGACAATTGAGGCAGGAAATCCTTTGCTTATCAAAGCAACAGCAGAAGCCTGCTGAACACTGTGTGCCGCAAGTTGCTCAGGCAGACTTTACAAACTGTGAGCGCGCTGCACTAAGCATTCGACATCGGTCTTGTAGATGCTTGATGTGGATGTCTTGTTGTGTAGCAGTTGCTGCAGGCCTCAAGGCCTCAAAGCCTCAAGATTGGGCTCAGTCATGCAAGCCTTTTCGCTGTCCGCTGCATCTAATGAGGCATTGTAAGGCTGCTGGACAAGAGCAAGATGGAGCAGGTTCGTGAAACGCCCTTCAGATGCATCAGCTCCAGCATCATGCGGGACAGAGACTCATCGGGAAAAACTCAGGAAAAAGCATTACATCAACGAGCTTGATTTCAACAAGGAGGCTCAAAACCTCTTGCGCATCCGGGCTGGCTTGTGCAAGCAATTCCCCGAGGTGCCACAGCGACTTATGCATTCATGTGTGGTGTGTGTCCGCCTTGCACGTGACATCACGTGACATCATGTCACCATGACAGCAAAGGTGCGAGTCCCGGAGCCACTGCTGGAGTTCTGCAGGCCAACCGTACTGGTGATGACGTGCCTCAGATGAGGGCTTCGGGTACTTTTAGGGTTGAGGGATCTTAGGGGTTGAGGTGACGGGACGGGTTCAGAAGAGCTTCTTTCTGAGGTACTTGCCGGGCCACTCGCTTCTGGACGGTATCATGGACATGGCGCAGGCGAGGAAGAACTAGTGCTCCTCCCTCCCAGACCTCATGCATCCATGACTTGCCATGACACCCTTGATTTGGCTTGGCATGCTTCTTCGAGCCTAGTTTCTCTTGAACTTGAACCCACTCCCCGAACCCCACAGGCCATTGCGAAGATGCGCGGCAAGAGCGTTGACGATCTCATTGCGGAATGCAGTCAAAGCGGCAATTCACGTGACAAGAAGGACCCTGTCTGCTGCGCTTGTGACTGCTGACAGCAGTCTGCTGAGAGGGTGTGGGACAAATCGGCAGCTCTCCGTAGGAAGTGTGGCAGTTCAAGCCCGTCTTTGTCACTGTCTCTAATTCTGCAGCCAAGTTGATGTGAGCATTTCCCAAAATAGGGGTACCCCTTTGTATACCCATTCTACCCCAAATAGAATATAATCCCCTTAAAGGGACACCCCCCAAAAAGCGTACCCCTATTTCGGAAGCCCCCACTGTGTGAGAAACACGTTTTGGGGAGGATGGATCTGATGCTTGCCTGTCCAAGCAAGACTCTGGCTGCCTCGACGTCCCAAAGGTGCTTGGACTTATCAGCCAGTGGGCTCGGTGAAACCAACAGACAAAAAACAACTGCTGTGGAACACTTCAACAGGGGGGGGTGGGGGGGGAGGCGGCCCGAAATGAGCGGTTCATCGCAGATAAGGAATAGAAAAAGATGAGGTTAGCACGTTGGCATAGGGCAGGCTGGATGCGTTGCGGGATGTGCGGTTCGCGTTGTAAAGCTATAAGGAGTAAAAACAAACGATAAGTCTTGTGCTGTCGGGGAATTACATCACGACAAAATTTTCCTCGCTAGCCCAGGTAGAAGGAGAGCAGCTGCTATGGAACATTCCCCCCCTGCTCTGTGGCACTCCATAGGCATAGACAGAATTTTGTCATCTTCATGCACGGTTTGATCTGTCACCACACCGAACAAATCTACGGACCATTCCCCCCACGTCTAGAACGCCCAGAACGGCGAGCATGTCGGGCATTGACACAAAAATGGTTTCTGCTGCGAGCATGTAAGGACAAGCGCAGATGGCGTATGTCCATGATAAACAAGATGCCTTCGATGCTGCCGAGCATCTCAGATTCCACGAAGCTGAAGCTGCTGCAGCTCTGCATGTCTACTTCTCGTTCCGCAAGAAATGTTGGTGTTGCGCTGTACAACAACTCGGCTGGGCTGCTTGGCGCCAGCAAGCTGTCCTACAGCAAGGAACTGCCTAATTTCAACCCACAGGAATTGAGCGAGAAGCTGTGGCTTGTTCACGGCCACCAAGTATTGCTAGATGGGCTGTTCAGCACGGATCCGCATCCAGGGAATATTCTGGTGGGTCCAGGAAGAAGTGGCGTTGGCCTCATTGACTTTGGTCAGGTTTTTGAATTGAAGACTCACGTCCGAGTCCTCTTTGGACGACTCTTGCTTGCCCTTGCCTCAGAGAACGATGCAGCGATCGCAAGCTGCTATCGTGAGCTGGGAATGCGAACCCGGCGCGAGAAGGAGATGAAGGGAATCAATCAGGAGCTCTTGGCCCTGAATGCACGTATCAGGTTTGGCCATGCCTCGGTGCTAAGCCGCGAGACCTACGAGCGCTACCGCCGCCTTTGTACAGAGGATTCCGTTTTTTGCAGTGGCTCGGACGACAGCCTCGGTCGAATCGAAAGATTGGTGGCAATCCTGCGCGGGACGAGCTTTCTACTGGGTGTTCCAACTGCGCATGGCCCGACCACGCTCTGGGTGGAAATGGCTAAGGAATTGACAGTAAGCTCACAAACAAGCTCTGCCGAGTCTCAGGAAGATGGCTCTGAGCTCTTCCAGGACACTTACCAGTGCAGGAACGTAGGTTGAGGTTTATGTCCAGCTCTTTGTTTAATAGTTAAGGGAATGGCAAAGCCTAAGCTCCCACAAAGGCACAGCAGCCGCAACAGCAACGTGAGGTCAACAAAGACAACGAGGAAGAGGATCGAAAGAAGCCCATGCTGCCAGCCCCGAGTAAGATACAGACAGGTGAGACATAAGTGAGGGACCTACTGTAGGAGGGTCAAGGAGGTAAGTTGCCCAAGTTGCCTACTGAATACCTCTTCGCACTTGTACGCAATCTCAGTGTTGCCATTTTCTGCACCAGGACATCGATAGTGCCAGGGATGATGTGGCTGCCTGCCAGCAAATCATGGCAACACCTTACAGAGCCCTGCATGTAGAGAAGTTATGTGGCAAAGGTGGCTGTCACCACACTGAAGCTTAGGCTGCTGTGGTCGATGCAGCGCAGCCCGTATGAGCATAGCAAATTGCTTGCTCGGCACCTCGTTAGCATTGTCCACCAGTAGTCCGGGTATTCAGCTTCTCCCAATCGATAGGACTGTGCACACTTCGGGTCTCGCGGCACACTGGGCATGATGGAACCACGTGTTCAGTTCATGAGGCAAGTTCTGCGGGCCCATCGGACCCGTCTCCTCGCAAATGGGCTACCAAACGCGCGTGCTTGTGAAACGAAGACTTTGATCAAACCCGATCTAGTACCCTCCAGCTTTTGTGTTGCAACAGGTCTAAAACTTGTTGCGGCTGAGACAGCTCTCTGAATGCTCGGGCTCTGTTGTGAAAAGATGCGAAAGAAGAAGCCTAGCAAACCTGAGCCGCACAAACATGGAAAGCCGCTGACGACCGAAAAACACCGGCATACAATGGGTGACGAGTGAATGACCACACCCACGACACAGAGAGCTAAGGTGCAAAGGAAATGGCCTAGGCGTGGAAAGTCCGACCTCGCTTGGTGGTACAGGCAGGACATGCTGCCCTGCACAAGCAGATCAAGAGTGGTGCATCACACGTTTTCTGGCAAGTGTGTTTTTGGTACAAGGGCGTCAGATAGCACTACCTTCCGCTGCTGTCGCCATGCATGGCTTCAGGAGCACTTTGACAAAACTTCTTCACAAGATCGCCGTGCCCGATTTTTCAGCCATTTAGACAGTCAGGGCGAATTGATGCCGCATCAAGTCATGCTGAGAAGCTTTGTGCTTTAAAGAAGGCAGCAGTCCTGGCCGGTGTTTTTTATTACGCGGTGCCAAGTCCCCTCACTGGAGGCGTTTGCAGCAATGTAGCCAGTGGGAAGCTGTTGATACTAGTCATCGGAATAAGCTGAGCGGCTTATTTTCAACTTGGCTTGCGGCCAAGCTGACCGGTCATTGACCGTAGAACTTTGACGGCGGTTGGTGGCTGCAGGAGTATTACCCAATTCGGGCGCAGTGTGGATACTCTACTTGCTTAGGCTTAGGCTCAAATTCAGGCTGTGCTGCTTGCTGTCACGAGTTCAAGGATCGGGCTTGGCTGCAAAGTCCTTTCTGGCGTCGTTTGAAACAAGCTGGAAGGGGCATGCCTAGTTTTATAGACCCCGCATTGGCAAGCTCGCGCCCGGAAGAAATCTTGTGCCATGGGGGCGAAATCGTCAGCTGGGTGCACTTTCGTGGCAGTACTGCAGTATGTCTCAGCTCAGGCCCGAAGTCGATGAAGCAGGCTCTGGCAAGGCAACGAGAAGCGGAAAACTGATTTGTTTCTCCCTACCTTGCTTCGAAGCACAGGTCGTTTTGCCCGTGGAGGACGATGATGCAGAGGTAGTGCTACAAGCCCATCGCTCACTTACGAAACCTTACAGAAGTGCCAGGCTGCCATTGCGTCTCCTGACTTCATGAACGCTTCTCGGGCTTCGGTCACTGGCTGAGTCTGCTCAGCACCAGATCCTTCGACCAGTACAGTGAGCACACGCGATGCTAGGTCATAGTGGCCACGGGATCCGCGACAGCGGCTTCAGTAAGCAAAGCGCTTGCCGATGCAAGGCCACAGTGCTCCTGCACCTTGAACCCATTTGAATCCTTTGAAATCCTGAACCCAAAACCCGAAAGGCCCTAAAGCCTGAAATCCTGAGCCCCAAGCACCGCTTGCCCTAGTGAAGCGAGCACTGCTGACAGCCCGGCTTGCCCAGCGAGCCTGATTCGGACGAGCAGTACGCGGGGCATCCAAGCAATTGTTTGAGTTGGCCTTGGCGGCCCTAGACCCTAAACCCCAAACCCCAAACCCTAAACCCTAAACCCCAAACCCTAAACCCTAAACCCCAAACCCTAAACCCCAAACCCCAAACCCCAAGCCCCAAACCCCAAACCCTAAACCCTAAACCCTAACCTGCGCTCTGAGGGTGTGGCTTCTGGACTCCGAGAGCGCAGTATCTGTGAGTCAGCCATGAGCATATATTCGACGGAGGATCTGATGCGGAGAGATGCGGAGAGCTCGAAAATATGCTTGAGATAATGAAACCAGCTTCTTCTGAACTGGCCAGTGCAGTTACGTTGTGCAGAGCAGTCACAGAGTCTGCGCAACCCTCACCGAAATTTGGTTGATCACAGGCTCTAGCATCAGGCTACACGATCCACTGCAATCCTTGTGATGACTTGGGTGGGGCTGCGGTGTTCAGTTCTGTTGGCAACGTTGGCACCGACCCGTGGCCGCGCAGCAGCACTGCATTAGGTTTGTGCAGCAGGCCCCTGAAGCGCTGTATATGAGTTGTGAGCAGCTGCTGGGTCTACGTTGTGCTTATGTCGCCTCTGTGCCAAGACAGCCTACGTATGTTGCATCTGGAATCTAGACACCCAAACGACAGCAACGGCGTTGCTCTTTGCGTAAGCTGCTCAGGTGTTTCCATTACAGTCGAAGCCGCTGGCAGCACGTCGCCACAGATTCCAAGCAGAGCATCAGAAGCACAGTTTATGCGTCAGCTTCCCAGTTGTCCACTTCTCCAGTGTGCTGCAATAAGAGTACATGAGGAGCAGGCGCAGTGACTGAGGCAATGCGAGGCCGAAGGTGCACACCTGCGATGACAAAACAGCCTGTGGCGGGTGTCAGGGACTGACACAGTCGGCTTGTGAGTGTCCTGACTGCAAATGGCCACTTTTCTCGTCCGAGTCCTCCGGAAGATAATGCAGAGAACAAGGGCTGACAACTCCGAAGTGTCCGCCTAGGACGGCGTGCTGGATTGATCAAGGCCAAAACCGACAGTGCGTGTGGAGCACCTTGCTGCAATGTACGAATCAGACTGACGGGGCCTTGTGCTGAGCAAGTTTAAAAAGGCCGAGACCTGACTTGAAGCTGAGAAGCGTCCCAGTAACTTCAGGCTTCAGGGCAAAGACTCACACAGCTCATGCGCTCCTGTTTCATGGCCTTATGATTGAAATGCCACGGTCTTCAGGACGTGATATTGACTGATGTTGTATGCTGCACGCCTTGCGCCTTGTGAATTCTCATGTTCGTGCAGAGAATGAGGTAAAGTTGTCAAGCGAGGTTTCCCGTGGAACAGAGAAGGGTATAGAAACTGCAGACATAGCAGATGCGACCACCGGCATGAATTTTGGCTCCAACCGGAGGGCTGGAAGTGAAGTGTAGCGACAGTCTCCTCGCCCAAGGCCTTCCGATCCATTCGGTCCACTAGGTGCAAGAAGGGCATCTCACCCTGAACCTTTTCCCACCCCCTGCATGACGCGGGCTTACCGGGCCTGCCGTCTCAGGGAGTCCTCTGAGTTTCTAAAAAAGCCCAAGCCAATACACTGCACTAATGGATCTTGTGGATTTTCGAGGTCCCAAGCCACTGTGTGGGTTCCAGGGCAGGTTGTTGGACTGGGAGCAAGAGCTTACGGAACTGTTTGTGGAATTGTAGCAAACAAAGTACACTTTCCCCGAGCTTGCCAAGAGAGCAGGCTAGGACCCCTAACTATGTCTCTGAGAATACACCTGCCGTGTGTTCAGGTCCGATGGGTCGGGATGATGTCTCTGCCGGTGCTTGTGTGTGTGTGTGAAGCATCGCAGGCGAGATGTCAGAGACGGCTCTGGGCCCCATCACCACGGGCAGATGCACGCCCAGGCCGCAGCCATTGCTTTGACCAGAGAGCGAGAGAGAGAACAAAACAGACTGGGCGAGTGCGCATTATGCGTATGCAAGCTATATGGGCAGGTCTCTAAAGTAGGGTCCTTTTCTGTCCCAAAAAGGACCCTTGCTTTCTGTCTTTGAAGCGTTCGCTTCGCGAACTGCCTGCCGCACGAATGGTGCAAGTGGCAGGTTCAATCCTAGTCAAGAAACCGTTCAAGATCTGCATGATAACGACTCTTACATACTCGGCCGATAGCAGTTGAAGCGGCGGCCGGTTCAACTCAGAATCCAACGTAGCACTCTGCCGCGGGCTATGAGCTTGGCTCGTAGCCACTGCAGTACTTCAGTCATGTGGGGTTTACGAGAAGAAGGAACCCCTAATACAGACCCCCCACATAATTAGTAGGATCCCCCTATCATAAGGGGACCCTAACTTCAGAAGCCCCCATAACTGGCATGTAGGGCCTAGGATTCCTGCGACCGTTGGCGCGAAACCCACCGCAGAAAGCGATTTCACTGCTGACTGGAACTGCACTTCCCATGCAAATTGTAGAGAGCTATCCAAATATGTAGATGTGTGTATTAGCAGCGGGTCGGACAGATCACGATGGCTACTCTACCCGAACCACGAAAGCTAGCAGAGGTGCACATGAAAAGCGGCACACTTTCAATCCACATCTCTTCTTCACTTGGACCAAACTTGAGGCACATGCCAGTCAAGAATGTCAAGCACTGCATGCAAACAATGTCAAAGCCCTGAGCACGACAGGTGAGCACATCCACACTCGTGTCATCAGACGAACATGAGAGCATCAGCAAAGTCTTAGCGACATATTTTCGAGCTCAACACAGCATCGAGCACCGCTGCACAAATGTAACTCTGCAGCGAGAACCAAACTTCAAGCGCAGAGAGCGAGACAGAGAGGAAGAAGAGAAGAACGTCCGAAAGGGACGATCCTTCAGTACTGAACATATGGCAGGGATGTGACGAAGCTGCTTCGAAACCCAGAAGTTCGCAGCCCGCGAACTCCGCGAACGGCCCGCCCAGCACGGGACTCGTTCCTTCAGGATCTGCCTTGGGGCCTTGCGGAAAGGTTGATGTCGATTTCTTAGAACCCCTTATAATGCCCTTAACACTTGGCTTGGCAGAGGTGCTTGCAGACCAGGCTGAACACACCCTCAAGGCAGGAGGTGTGCAGGAGCTTTGCATGAAGAACGTCCGTATACTTCCCGCACGCGCTTCTGTTGCTGTTGCCGGGCAGTGAGCACGGCGCAGGCCGTGTACAAACTGCGAGGCAACCAGCCAAAGGAGGAGTGCTGCTTTCGTCGCTCCGTGAAGCACACGTTTGGAAGCGCTCATTGAGCAGTTT